TCGGTTTAACGGAAACCAAAATGCATAACTCCATAGTGTACTCCATAAACCACATTAAAATTTTAATAGGATAAAATGTACTCAAAAACACGAATGATGAAAATTGGGGAAATTGAGGTGTAAGAGGCATAGATTCTTAAATCAGAGTAAGAGCTGGGTTTAACCCAAGGCCTTGGGCAGGCCTCTTAGTAAATGCTGCTCTTCTGTCACTAACACTATAGGCCATATTCAATAGTGAGGATTCTTAGATGTGAATTTATATAGGCAGTTAAAAATAGCAACCAAATCAGAGACATTTAATGGACTGACTACAAAGTGAATTCTTGTGGCTGCACTAAACAAATATCCCTGGGATACCATAATCTGACCCTTAATCTGAGCACATGCCTGGCAAGACAGGAAAGATGGGGACCAGTGAGTGGCTCCTCTCCCTGCACCATACCAGCCCATATGCCCTGGAAAATCGCCTTGTCCCCATGTCGATGGGGACAAGGGCCTCTTGCCCATAAGCCCTAGGGTGTTGGTTGTGGGGGTCTGCGGGCAGGGGGGCTTATTTACATTGGGATAACCCCTTTAATAAAGGGGCACCCAGATGCTATGCCCCCCTTGCACCCCTACTCATTAATTAAAGCATTGAATAGAAATGTAAAAAAAAACACACTTTTGAAAAAGTCCTTTAATTGAAAAAAAAAACCAATGACAATGCCTTTAATTAAAAAAAAAGTTGATCCAACTAATCCACATCAATCACAGCATCCAGCGTTGTCAACAACTATGCCAACTTGCTTAAACAAAAAAAAAAGCCCAACACCCGCCGACCCATCCACGCCATCCAAACACACGCTGCAAAATGACATGTTGTTTACATTTCCGCCCAGCTGTTTTCATGTAATGACAGACCAGTGTCCTTGAGAACGCTGGGATGTCATTGAAAGACACCAACTGGGCAGAGCCAGCTGTAATGCCACAGTTGGCTCCACCAAGTTGTTGTCTTTCGCGGGGAGATTGGTCGGCTTCGGGCAACCTTTCTTCCCACTTCAGTTTTGACTTCGGCTTAGCTGAGCTAAGCATATGCATTCAGTTCAGCTGAGCCATTTGGATGCCTTTGGCTGCTGTACACGCTATCGTGAATAGCCCACACAGCAGCCCCTTGGTTCGGCTGAACCGAAAGGCTCTGGCGGCTGAAGTTACCGAAAGGTTTAGCCAATGCTTCGGCTTAATCCTTTGGCTCCTTTGTGAATAATCCTCACAGTGTTTATATTTGATGTTTTGTTCTATCCTTTTATCATGCCACCATTAGTTTTATCATGCCACCATTAGGGATCCAGTTTGAGTTCAGGCCGATGCAGTTTGTCCCAAACTCTGGCTGTTCACTGTTCTCAATGTACAACTAAACAGACTGTTCATCTGCCACCAACCTATCAACCTAGGATGCATCCCCAACCCCATTCACCATGATTGACAATGTATCTACATCATTGGATGACATGATTGATGATGGATTTGCACAATTGTTTTATAATAGAGGGATTTATCATAGTGTGGCTCTTGTTATTTATTATGCAACTTCCAATACACGCTGTGAAAACCTCATCATGTACAGTGAAATCAGACTAAACATTTTCAGTACAGGAGAAGAGCCTTTGCAAGACTAAATATAAGGCTGGACTTCAACGTTAAATAGCTCTATAAGAATGGTTTGCTTATCTAGTGCATCAAAAAGCTTTAATTTTACTTGGTATCAGCCTCTTGTAATCTGTACAGTAGTGCTCAGTTCGAGAGAAAGAAGGGCAGCAATGCGGGCATGTGCCCTTTGATATACTGTATATGAAGTGTGGATTTTAATGATATATCTCCCTTAACTGACATTTTTTGTTATGATCTTAATATAATATTAAAGTTTCTATACCTTGTTAGCCTTGAGTACCAGTGGCCTATGTAACTAACTTCGTTCAGAGATGACTAATAGACTGTAGCTGGCAGAAACGTTAAAATGTTAGGTAAGATAAGGTAATAATTCTGATTAATGTATGGTTGCTATGGATGAAAGTGGGTCTAACCCCTGGGGACAAGTTTACCCCTCACTGTCATTTAACCTTAGAAGCAATAAAAGCATTTCATATACTTAACATATGCTTTGGGCTTGGCCTGGCTGCAGGTCTCAGATGTAGCTGTGGCTGATGCTTCATATGGCCATCCCTATAATGGGGCAGGTGTTGCCTCAGGCAGCATCTCTTAGCACCACGTGGCATGGCCGCTCTGCTCCACAATGTTTGCAATGTGCCTGCTGGCCCCTTTCTGACCAGAGCATCTGACTAGAAGTTGCTAAGAGCTGGGCAGGGAGATGTGAAAGGGCTATACAAATCTCCCCAGCTCCTGGCGTCACTTTCCACCAGCAACCCCCCTACCAAATGCATGCACCGCCAGCAATCCCACTCTCTCTGTCCCCCCCGGCCTCAAAAGACAAATAGGGTCAGGATGCCCCTGTTTTCATGAAGGACAGTGGATATCTCAGCTGTGGCTAGTATCTGCAGCCATACTAAACATTTTACTCACAGGTTAAGTGCACAGATAGTATGGGGTAAGAAAATTGACATTTACAAATATTTTAGGCCTATTACATTTTTAAGCAGAATTTCAGCATAGATACATTTTCTTCTTTATAGTATATGGAAAATGGTTTTACAAGCAACTGATTCTCTAATGTCTGAACACTTTAATAATATTGAAACAAGAGTCAAGTTATAACATCCTTTCTCAATATGTTCTACTGTATAATCTGCATTCCTTAGCTAGCACTTATCAACTCTATTATTTTACATCACACACAATTCAAATACAAAAACAGTTTCTGAGACATTTGGAAAAACTGAGTTTAACCATAATATTGGAGCAGCTTCAATAAAAAAAAAATTAGTTTACAGCAGACAAGGTTCTTTCCAAACTTCCAAACTACAAAAATTATATTTTGTTAGCATTTCTCAGTACACTCTCACATGTATTTTAACATAGAAATAAAGGTTGTGAAACATTTTGGCTATGCTGGATATTAGTGACACTGACAAAATCATCACAATGTCATCACTTTTTTAATCTATCCTCTCACCTCCCATTTCAAGCATTAATCTGGTTTTGGATCACTCAGACCAGTATTTTGAATGTTTCACAAATTAAGAAAATGTGTTAATCATTTTACTTATTTTACAGACAAAAACAAACCAAAAAAGGTTATTTTAAGTATAAAATACAAATACATTTATAAATACTTCCCTCTATTTGTGGTTGTTTTATATGTGACTAGACAGGTAGAGAATTTAGAATTTGCAGACCTAGCAGACTCTCAGCAGTATGTGATAAGATCATGCTAAAGATGACACACATTTTCTACCAAGCTGCACAATCTTTTATTTCATATACAAAATAGCAGATATCCACAATGCTTCCAGGTTAATTTGCTTCCTGCCATTTCAGTTTCCATCCCTAAACAGAATATGCAGGTGTTTCCAAACCTCCTGTTAACTTCTGCATAACATAAAAAAAAGAAAAAAGGCTGGTACCCATGAGCACAGAGATGCTACCATTGGAGTGTCTGATAGACATAGGTAGCTAGTGCTTTTAATCCTATGCAATTTGCCAAAATATTATATATAAGTTTTGAATGGTCTGTTCATTTAAATCTTTGGCTGCTGTATCAAGTATGTGAAGTACTGATAAAAGCAAAAATAATGGTGTACTTCTTTGTAGGGCTAGTTCACACCAAATGCAGTTGTAATACAGTCCGTTTAGTTTGGCAGCTGCATCAAAATCATGTCACAAAACTTTCCAGTGGGATTTCTGGTGCTCTGTTCATACTGGTGGAGTCAGAAAAAATCCTGCCTACCACATTTTAGCTGCACCTTTTCACAATGGAAGGCATCAAAACACATCACAAATGCATACAAACACATGCAAACACACTGGAATGAACTGGACTGCACCTGAAAGCACATTTTAGGCTAAAAAAGCACTGGAATGTGTCAAAAACGCATCACAAACGTAGCAAAAACATGGCAAAAGGCATCACACTGCAGCTGCACAGAGGCACGCAGTTATGGTATGAACTAGCCCTTACGATGAAGCCTGTTTTCAGATTTCCAGCTTGTACAGGTCCAGTGTAGTATTTCCAACTTCTCCTCTACTTGCCGGGTCTAAAGACATGAGTCTATCATACTATAGACTTATCTTACATATTTTACATTTCATAAATATTTAACATTCTTACACAAAAATGTTATTTCAATTTACGCAGATTTTTAAGTATGATTGCATAATAAATGAAAATCATGCCAAAGGATGTGTTATATGCTTGTGCAACAACACAGCTCTAGAGCAAAGCCCTGTGCCTGGCAAAAATGTGTTAAAAGTAGTCACATTAAAGCACTGTGGTGAGATTTTCAAAGCATTTGAACCCTTAATGCGAATACTTTAATGTCAGATTTTATCTGGAGGATGTGCACGAGAACAACTACCATCAATCAACACAGTTCCAACAGTCTCTCCGGTATTGTATTCCTAATAGGCCTAGCCGTAATCTATAGGTTTGTTACAAATCCACATAAAATCTTCAATAAAATTGACCCATCATGAAGTAGACAAATCTTAGAAGCGAAGGTGGCTGCATGCAGAAGCAATGATGTTAGCAGTTATAATGACAAGCAATTTTGTTTACAATAGTCTCAAGCAATTTACAAAAGGAAAATACCTTTTCCCTAATGTCTTCATTGTTTGTGAAAAAAATAACATAATGTGGGGAATTTACTTGTGGAGTTGTGAATATTAACTTCAATTATCCAATCAAGCAAATTACTACTTATTTATTTAATCTACACATGGCTGGATAATTGAATTGAATATTCACATAATTTATTGTGTGAAGATTCTCAACTACTTTAGTAAATCAGCCCAAATGCCATAGCCTCTGGACCAATTTTATGAATTATGTGAAACATGCTTCTACTTACCTGTACATTTCTTTAAATGGCTATTCTTTTTGCCATGTGATCCCAATTTGCAGCCAAAGTTCTCTTCCCAAAATTCAGCAAACCAAACATTTCTTCGATTATTGGCTAAAGACCGGCTTCTGAAATATCTATCAAACCCTATTTTCATAAAAACAAAAATGATCATTGACAGTTTTAACGCAAACAAAATGTATTCAAATGCATTCAGTGTGTGGAAGCCGCCTTCCCAGCCAATCAGCATGGAACCGGCTTCCCGGCCAATCAGGAAGCTGCTGGGAGGCTGGTAATGACTCGCCACCCAGCTTTCTGATTGGCTGGGAAGCTGGTATCCCGGCCAATCACCATGGAGCCAGCCAAACAGCATGGAGCTGGCTTCCAGGCCAATCAGGAAGCCGGGCAGTGTGTCATTACCAGCTCCATGTTCCCTCGTGGCACTGCCAGCCAGAGGAAATTTGGGCGAGTACGAGTAGTATTAGTATTGGCGCATCCCTAGTGCAAACCTGTTGATTCTGACAGTGATCAGGACAGCAGAAAGATGAGTGATACCTAAAAATGTAGGACTTCATACATATCCCCAAAATGGAATATCTAAACAGCACTAGGGTATGCTTACAAAAAGTTGTATAAAAATTATTTTGATACTTGTGTTTTTACAAAGAATTCACAATTCTAGTCATAGAGTAGTGGTTACATATTTAAAGTATACTCTTTGGTTCATTTGGGAACGTTACCTTAAACTCATCTTCATAGTTAGATTTTACTATATTTACCTGTAGACATGAGATAACATAAGATCTTTGCACAAATATGCACATTCAGATTGACCAGAAGTGCATGTTTATGCCATTTGACTTTTGCTTATATTGAGGAACACAATAGAGATTGGCTAGGAAGATCTAATTTAGAGGGTGATTCACCAAGGAGCTGAAGGATCCAGCCATAGCTTCACTGATCCTTTGGCTCACTTTGGCTGCTGGAGCCGTTCGGTTCATTCGAACCGAAGGGCTGCTGTACGGACTATTCACTATAACCCATACAGCAGCCGAAGGCAGGTGGACGGCTGAGCTGAGCCAAAGGCATATGCTTTGGCTGAGCCGTAGTGACAGCCGAACAGGGAGAAAGGTCTGCCGAAGACCACTGTTCTCCCCGAAAAAGACAACAGCTGGCTCCCCCCACTTGTTGTACTGTAATGACAGATCAGCATCCTCAAATGACCTGGGGATGCTGGTTTGTCATTTAACAACAACAACTGGTGTGAGCCGGCCGTGATGTCATGGCTGGCACCACCCAGCTGTTGTCATGTAATCACAGAATGACAGACCAGCATCCTCAGGTTATTTGAGGACACTGGGCTGTCATTACATAACAACTGGGCGGAGCTAGCCGTGACATCATGATCAGCTCTACCCAGTTGTTTTCCTTTGTCTGGGACCTACTGGAAGATTCTGGCAGCAGCCAGCCAAATGTAAACAATCGGGCCGAGCTAACCGTGATATCACCACTGGCTCCGCCCAATTGTTTGTATTTTGCAAACATCTGTCAGATTCTTCATTCTGCATCGGGAGTTTGTCACGTGCGGGTCGACGGGCATGGTTTATTTTACTATTATTATTTTACATTTTGCCGAGTCATCCTCATCATGGACAACACTGGACATCGTGATTGATGCAGGATTACGCCAGTGGATCAATTTTGGGGTTTTTTTCCCAAATAAAGGACTTGTCAAAAAGCATTTGTGGTGTATTTATATAAATTAAAATATTTTTGATTAAAGTCTGGCCTCTTTTGTCAATTCTATTTGAACCCTTTAGTCAATGGGTAGGGGTACAAGTACCCCTTACTCATTCACAAGGGGGGCTGCATCTGGGTGCCCCTTTATTAAATGGGTACCCTGATGTGAATAAGCCCCCCTGTCTGCACCTCCACAAATAATGCCCCAGAGCTTGTGGGAAAGAGGCCCTTGTCCCCATCGGCATGGAGACAAGATGCTTTTTCAGGGACGACCCAGGAAAAGCACCCCTCCCAGTGTCCAGGGCATGTGGCCTGCTATGGCAGGGGGCCCCGTCTGTGCTCAGTTGGGAATTTTAGGGAGACCCCATGTTTTTTTCCATTTTGGGGGTGGGGTTCCTCCTTATAATTCCTACCAGACCTTAAGGGCCTGGTATAACTTGGGGGGAACCCTACATTTTTTTATTTTTTTTTAAATAGGCGTCCCTCCTAACATTCCTACCAGACCTAAAGGGTCTGGTATTGTTTGGGAGGGGACCCCATGCTTTTTTTCTTTTCTTTAAACATTTTTTAAATTATTTTCTTAACTTTTAAAATTTTTCCTTTTTTTACATTTATTTAAATCATTTTTACACATTTTTTTTCCATTTGTCTACATTTCTCTCTATTCTGCTCACTACCTCAGAGGTAGCGAGCAGAATAGCCAAGCTGAATGCCGCTCGGAGGCATTCGGCTATTCACTCACTGCCATTCAGCCCCTATGAGAATAGGGGCGAACGGCAGGGAGAGAAGTGCCGGAACTTTAGCTCACCCGATCCGGATGTTGGATCGGCTGAGTCAAACTCCTTCTGCACGATTTACAGCTGATTTTAGCCAATGTTCAGCTGAAATCTGCCACACTGAGCTGAAGTGAATAGTCCAACAGTGTTCGACTCACTTCACTGCGACTCGGTTATTCACTCGGCTGCCTTCGGCAGCTTAGTGAATTATCCTCTTAGTCTATCAATTCTTTCTCCAGTAAAGTTTGGCCCAGGTATGTGTGGAGAGAATTGTGAGTGCATACAGAATTAGGGTTGTTGCCCAATCTGATCTTAAGTGGCCAAATTGGGCAACATTTATCTTATCTATGTAAGCACTTTTTAAGGAATCGAAAATAATATTTGTGGTGCACTACAATAAAGAGATATAATGAACCAGAATAATGTATGTTGACCATTTTAATAGTGACAAAATATCTATTTGAATTATCATTAATTGTCCATGTAAAATATAAACTGGCATTAAGAGAAAAAAAACATACATTTGAATGTTGTCATACCAGAGCATTGTAGTATTTTTTTCGATTCTTTTTTGCAAATAGTGATCCTAATGTTTAAAAGGTTCATACAAACTACTACTTAAAACATAATTTAATTCATATTAATGAAATCTATACATGCATACAATAGAATTGCATTTATAGTAGAAAAGTTACTACCATCTATTGAAGCTCTCTTTGGTAGAATTGTAATAGCTCCCTCTGCCATCTCCTCTTGCTGGTATACTGGGGAGATTTTAGAACCCCAGCTGTCTGAACCAATCCAGAGAAAATGTCCTGTCTGGTTGTTTCTTTTTGCTGATTCTAAAATTCGCCTGAAACATAAAAAAGACAGAAACACCACTGATGCAATTCTTTTCAAGATGCTTTCATCACATCTACTAAACACCCAGGGAAACAATTAGTCAATCATCCTGCCAACTTGACTTGTGCTTTAGGAATAGAGCCTAACACCTATCTGTGTCTATAGCTCATGTTAATTTGCTTTTGTCTAACCCTAATACAACATGTGCTGTGTACCATTCACATTTCATTTATCTCATTCAATCTAGTGTCTTAATCCACAGGATGCTATACAGTTACAGGAGGACAAAGCAAATATCTCAAAAGAGCAGCAGAATAGAATTTGTCTAAATGCAATTGAAATTTGTTACACCTCTCGTCCCTCAAGAATATCCTTGTCAGGATAATGTAAAATGGATAAGTAAGAAAGAAAAGTTTGTGCAATTCTCCTGCTGCTGGAAAAGATCAAACATGCAACAAACAATAGGAGGAATCTATCACCTTATGTCATCTTCATTTGCAAAAATGATTATTGCCCGAGCATTAGGGGTTTCCAGCAGGCGTTTAATGATTTTATCAAATTCTCCTGGCTTGGGTTCTCGAGGGATTTTCAGTGACTGGGCGATGCATAAACCACCTGTGAAGACATAATATACTTCATCTCAGAAAAGCCACATTTTAAGGATTACTGATAATGCTTCTGGTAAACTACACATGGCTTATATAAATAGGTTTATGGAAAATCTGCACAAGGTACTGTAGTACATGTCTGTTAGATAATATATTGCCTCAATGCTTGCCTATCCAAGCCAACTATAAAATGTTTTTAATAGGATTTTATTAAATTAAATTAAATGCAGCCCATTCTGAAGTGCATACATTTAGACATGAAGTGGCTGCAAAGAGACTGCTAGAGATCAGCAGCACTGAGATGCAACAAAAGATTAAAATAGTGAAAACATATACTTTATAAACATTAGCAGAGTTCCCACTAATTATTGAACTCCAGTTGAAAATTAGTAGAGATAATTGTGGACTGCTGCACTGGGAAGCAATTGTACAGTTTACAAGACATTTAGACAAAAGGTTAGTTCAGCTTAAAAAATATGCAGTTTATAAACAATATTCCAAGACCCTAAATTAATCAGATTTTTAAAATATGCATTTCTGTTCTCTCAATACCTACAGGCCATTTGCACAATGAGTGAAGCTTGCCCCCAAAACTCCAGACAGTTTTCAAAGCTCCATTCTGTCTTCCCTCTGGGATAGACCAATTGTTAGGATGAGCACCCCCAAGTGGTACAGGTGTGTAAACCATCATTCTCCCAAGCCTCACACATGCACAGTGTGTTCTCCTGTCACTGTGGATGAGCTGAGTGGCGACAACAAGAGAACTCTGTCCTGCCACAGCTGCTGAGGTCATCCATGGCGACAGGAGTCACTGTCTGCAATGAGATTTTATCTGCAGTTTGACTTTAAAGGATGGAACTTCCAATTGCAGACTCTAAAACAAAGGCTTCCAGCACCCATGTTAAAGGCAATAGGAGAGTACCCGTGTAGGCAGTCAATAGCAGGATAAAAACTAATATATTTAGACATGTAAGCTATGCACTTTGTTATGTATTTCCATGTTTTCAGTTTCACTGGACTGTACCTTTTATAGCCTTACTTTTACAGCATAATAGGCTATCTTCAATTAACCAGAAGGAAAGCAATACAAGAGCCAAGTTGTAAACATTTAACCAAACACAAGTAGAGCTAAATAGGACCTGGAAGTTCACCTGAAAGAAGGGATGTCCACTGCTGGAACCGAACTTTCGTAAGTTGCAGTGAACATTAGGTTGTTGTACATTTTCCTTGGTGCACATAAATGGGCAGCAGCATTTTATGACCAGACATAAAGGTAAGGTAAGTACATTGATTGGTTAGATTACTTATTTAGCCTTGGCTCATTTGTTTAAAGTGTGTGTGTGTGTGTGTGTGTGTGTGTGTGTGTGTGTGTGTGTGTGTGTGTATGGGAAGGTTTAATTTAGGTAAGTGAGTTAAGCATAGCTGATTAGACTCCTTAAACATAGGCTGAGTGAACAGGACACAGGACATTGAATTTCTGACAGTATCAACTGTTATTATTTTGTGTCTAATAACAGATACAGTAAAATAAAACACACTCTCAATTGTATATGTAACAGACTAAATGTGAGCAAATAAGACAAAATTAATTGTTTGTACACCTAAAGATCGAACCTAAATTCTATCACTTGACCTTAACTTCTTAACACTTGACTTAACCAACACCCTAACCTAATCACTTATACTGCAGTTATTGCTTTCACAAATCCTTTGCTTGAAGCACTGAAATGTAGCATCCCTGTGTTGAAAACAATTGCACTGACATAATAGAGCTCAAAAGTGCTACTGTGAAGTCTATCATCACCAGAAATCCATAGTCATTCTCAATACTTCTAAGTCCAGGATACTGTAAAACTGAAGGTATTTATATCATTACATTCAACACCAATAATAAAGAATAAAGTTTACCCCCTTTTTAATAATAATGGGCAGAGCCATACATATTATTCGTAGTGCCCCTGTTGCTAAATGTGCATCCTGAACAGCTGCTTTACAGCACAGGTACAGTTTAAAATGATCAATCATTATTTGAAATCAATAGCCAATCTTGGATAAAGCATAGAGGTTGGTTATGATTATTATAAATAAGACATCACATCAATAAGGCATTGAGAACCGCTTGCAGCAGTCAATAATAGGCAAACAGGCATGGCCAAGTTGGGGAAGTCAGTCATTTACTATTAAACCATGAGCAAATGACTGCTTCAGTGGTGAGCTTTTGACAATAACACATCAGCAATATAGTGGGCAACCATAGAAAACCAGGGTATTCTATCCAATGATAGATCAGCCAAGTGACAATGGCTGTGGAAGCAAAACCTGGCAGTCAAAGTCAAAACCATTTGAAGATATCAAGAACCCAATGTATGTGATGTGCTTAGTGATAAACTCTAAGCTAAGAAATTGTAAGGTTCTCTTCTGCATTCAACATTAAGAAAAATATGTCAATTGGCAATGCAATGTGTTGATGTCATAATGAAGAGAATGGATTTGATTGAATAATGTAATTCATTGCTTACCCAGCAACTTTTTATGACATAATAGTATAATAAAAACTTTGTGCTTGGTCTACCTGGCTATGATTTAGCCTTGGTGTTAAATCTTTACCAACACTACCAAAAAAAGGTTGATACTAAGAAGTGGGATTTACTCACAGCTAATAATGAGCAACAATATGGCACTGAGTGAACAATGCACTCAGTACCCTGTGATCAGTTGTTAAATTAATAATTTAGTAAAAGGCCTTTATTAAAAAAAGTTCCCCAATGTAAATCTAAAGTTAATAACATGATCCAGTGATTAAAATCAAATGTCAATTACAACAAGCATACCATGATGGACCTCTAACAGATTAACCCATGCCACAACGATCTTCTCCAGCTGTACTCCTATCACAGAAGACAGCTCACAGCTGGATGTCAACAAACTGGCTGGAGATCCTAGGTGACATTATTAACCAAATATGATCATGATCACCGGGATCCTAGGGTGCAAAGCTCCCCCCAACTTTGCTAGGTACTCTACCAGTGCTGAGAGCATGTGGCCTGGTATGTTTCAGGAGGGGAGAGGCGCAATGCCTCCCCATCCCTGGCCAGTCAACCTACATGCCTGGCTAAGGATCTGATATGGATTTTGTTGACCTGACGCTTTTTTTAAAAAAAGGGTTCCAATCTCACCTGTCATCTGACGGTTGGTATATTATAGTCATCTATTCACTTCAGCCCCAAAACCTGACAATCCCACACTATAATAAAAAATTATTGCCAGAAAAAGAATTACATTTTGGGAGTATTATAATGCACCTAGCAGATATTATACCGAGCAGATCCGGGTTGGGCCAGGTAAAATGTGGGTGCTCATGGTGATATACAGTTGATGTTTATATACTACAGCCCCAAATCCTAACAATCCCACACTATAGTAAAAACAATTGCCAGGCGAAGAATTACATTTAGCGGTATAATAAAATATGTAACATATTTTAAGTTATTGATCCATGAAGAAATTACAACTGGGTCTGTCCATAAACTATGGTAACACATTCTTTAGGGCTTGTAGAGCATTATACCAGTTATCATTACCTATTGTATCAGTGTCCAGCTTTCAACAAAATTTATTTCAGTAAGTAGGGATTTATGAAACAATATCACTTGCTTCAGAACCAGGTAGAATTTTCAGGGTCCCAAGGACATTAACCTTATACCAACCAGCACATGCAAAATCTAAAATGCTCTAGTACATATTTATTAGGGTAGTTACTAGGACAGCACATAAGGAAATATACAAATCCGTTTTTTTAAATAGTTAATGTCACAGGGGTGTTTTTTTTTTTACTCTATAGGCCCTGAGGGAAGGGTGAGTTTACTGCAATTTTCATCCATAGTGAAGAAGAGTGGCAGTTGTTTTTCTGATTTTTCATTATAACAAAAACTGAAGCAAATATTTGAACATTGTACCCAATAATGATATTGTACTTTTATAATAATATTATTCCGTAATTACATCCTGTCTAAATTTTGATAAATTACCATCTTTGCAAGTTTAGTTATATTTCTGAAGTTTTAGGGCCTCTGGATTTTTGAAGGAGAGCTAGAGGTTTCTAAGTCAGGATTTGTTAGCAAGAGGTGGACATCAGCAGGAACCAAGCACAGGATGCTGGTATCAGGAGCTTAAGAGTCTTACTGAATTCATGGCTACTATTTTTCTTACATCCTCCAGTGTATAGTGAAGAGGGAATGGGGTACTCACACAGGTATTTATTTTTTCTTTGAGACGATTGTTACGTTTTATAAATAAAACTTATATTTTGTTGAACTCATTACACAATATTTCTTCCCTTTATGCTATGTTCAGAAATATCTACTGAAAGACGATTCAAAACATTTCTTATTACTGTGGTGAAAACTTTCATTCACAGGGGTATTCACATAAGGGTGAAGAGTTTGGAGAAGGCACGAGAAGTGAATAATACAGGCCAAAATAGCTGATTTGGAAAAATTCTCCAATTCAGCTCAGTTTTCAGTTCAGATATGTTGTCCTAGATTGTTCACTTCCCCTGCCATCTCCAAACTCTTCACCCTTTTGTGAATAACCCTGTTAGTGTTCTTGAAGGAGGAAGGAAAATCCTTCTTTTAAGAAAAGGATAAATTAGGTATTTAAAGTATGTGAAGTGAAAAAACTACATTGGCTTAGTGAATCAAGCTATTACAGTTTTTCACATTGGTCTGACTGGTTGACCCTTTAAACATCAAATTTGGCAAAACTGGATGATTAACAGGGCTATTCACAAAAGGGTGAAGAGTTTGGAGAAGGAGTTTGGAGAAGGCAAGAGAAGTGAACAATCTAGGACAACATAGCTGAACCGGAAAGTGAGCTAAATTGGAGAATGTTTCCAAATCAGCTATTTTGGCCTAGATTGTTCACTCCTCCTGCCTTCTCTAAACTCTTCACCCTTTTGTGAATTATGATTTGGGGTTTTCAGACCATAATTCACTATTTTGTATCTACATTTCTCTAGTACAGTTATTAATGACCACTACATTATCTGGATGTTTTTCACATAGCTCCTATGAAAAAAAGAGTCCCTCCAACAGACTGTAATTCCCAGAAAGCAAAAAAAGTGTAGTTGGACATCTTCAGGTTGATAATATTCCAGATAATTATTATGTATTACTTGTCATTAACACCCACTTATTACCCATGCAAATGTTGTTTGTGACTATTAACAAACAATTTAAGTATTAATTCATAAATGTGCTGCTAATTTATGTTAAAGCACAGGAAAGTACCATATGTAATCCCATGGTCTTCCCACCATCAGAGAGAGAGAGAGAGAGACTCACAGGTCCAGAAGCAGCTGTGCCCATTCTACTAATGAAAGTTGGAGCAGTACCCTAGAAATATTGCAACTTGTTGTTACCATATGATGTTTATGTCAAATCTCCATAAACATATGTATATAGTTTTTGTAATTAAATATATTCTGTGTTGGGTGATTAAATAGTAATAATAAAACATGTAATTACTGTCCTGAGTGATTGAATACAGGGGGATTTTGAATGTAATTATTGATCTTCTCAGGCCTATCCTGTTAATTGCAAATGGTTAGGATGAGAACAATAGGATTCACAGGCAATTCCATGGTCTGTGTTTTTGCCAATATTCATTTGCATTTTTAAAGTTTTCCTTTTTGTTTGATAGTTAAATAGTTTGTTGGTTCACTGTATTAAATCCATATTACTACATACCAATACATTCCTGTTGTAGTGAGATAAAAAATCTCATGTTTGAATCCTCAAACTAAATACTTGTAGGTGTGAACACTTATATAGCAAATCATATCTTAAAATATTCCTTTGGGTAACAGTACGATCACACTTTTAACTCTTATGCAGTTCTTCTCACTGTGATACAGTCACGGCATCTCACTGCATATGCCTTTATTAAGCTAGATGAAAAGAAGTTTAGCTACAGTAGGAAAGTTAACTGTAGTGGTATGTTAGACAACAGGCAGAATTGGAAAACAGAACTAAGAACAGAATGAAGGTGAGGAGCAAGAAAAAAGAAAAAGGTACTTAACAGATAAAGAAAGAAGATAATTCAAGGTATACCAATGTACTTGGTTATTAAGAAATAAATATTCATTATTGTGTTAGCAAGGTTTATCGATCTTGTAAAATCACAGACTGTGTGAATACATATTTACATGTAAAATAAGATTGAGTAGTCATAACTCTTAGACTTATACGCGCATACAAAAAAACCAAAGCTATCGCTTACACTTTTCAGTAAACAGTGATAAAAAGTAGGTGCTGCATGAGGAGAAGAAAAAGTGTACTGCGTACTGCTTAAAAGCTCACATTCATATAAGTGTATAACTATACATTCCAGATCCTGAACAGAGATTGTGGTGAAGGTTCACAGGTACCATGGGTTTGAGATGAATTCTGCGGGTCACAAATTCACAGTCCTGGCAAATGTTTGTGCAGATTTGCCCAGGATAATGTTTTAAATTATAATGCACTGTTTGGTCTTTAAACAATGGCAAACAGATGAGGAAGGGTCAACAAGGTTTTTTTGTTAAAGAACTCCAGGCAAAAGTTCTCCCAACCCTTGCAGTGGGGCTACCCCCACACTGCAAGCATTAAATGCTCTTTTTTGTCTAGGTGTTAAAAAAAGTTATGCTCAGCCGAACCGCCAAGCCGACTGCCTGCTTCTCCAGTCACTGAAGCCTTTCTTTTCCTACACTGCAGCACTGGAATGTTCCTAAGCATCATCAGGTCTACACTCTGTGTATAGAATGTGATAATTTATGGGACCTTAGACCACTGCAGCTTAGGGGAGAGAGGCTCTAGAGACCAGTCTAACAGCAAGCCAGCTCAGAGGATCAGGTGAGTATAACGTTTTTGAACCTAGACAAAAATGAGCAGTTAACTCTTGCAGTGTCGTGGTAGCCCCACTGTAAGGGTTAATACAAATTCTGCCTGGAGTTCCTCTTATGCCAGCCACCTCACTAAAAGGGAAGTTACAGAGCAGCAATAGTGTCATTGAATCAGAAGCTGTTGTACAGTAGGTAAAGCATTGTGTAATATGATTAGGGTCAGTTAGGACACTGTTGTAATGGAAGTGGTTAAGTACAATTATGACAAAATGCCTATCTCAAAATGCCTATCTCGCAGTAGAAATAGGAACCAAGTTGGCGCCTCCTCTTCAGACAACACCCAAGACGAAAGAGAGAAACATCTATAAACATCTTGGCAGGAAGTTATGCATAAATGGATCTAACCAATGATAAACTAGAATATATAAACTAAAATACTTTTCTGCAATGCTACGCTCAAATATACATGTTCACCTGTTAAATAAAAACCCTGAAAAGGAGAACAATAAAGCAGAAGTATCTTACTCTGAACAACTGGTCTCAGCGTGGTATGTTCGCAGAGTGTGCACTCTATATTTAATCAGGCCAGGCGGCAGATATAAGTACGGAGCCTTGATCCGATCTAAATTTGTGAGCAGGTCCAAAACACTGTATTTTAATTTAGATTGCTAGCTCTTTTTTGTCTTTCATTTTATTTTGTCCGTGATTTGGCATCAGTGATCCCTTTTAGTTACTGTACTGTCCATAGCAAACTTTTTTTTCCCTGCATTGCTTCCCTTTAGAAAATGTGGGAGTCTGTGGGGTTGATTTACTAACCTTATAAACACACCACGAACATGTGTACACACCCAGCAGGTGTGTTGTGCAAAGCCCTGCCCTGAATTGCAAGGTGATGTTGTGTAAATTAGCTCTACATTGTGTTGCTTGCGTTGATGAATGCAGGAATGTAAATGCATGAGCTAACCATTTTTGTCTAAACTGTGAAGCAGCATTATATATGCATCATGTGCATGATTCTTCCATATATGGCATTAGTAGAAATATGCTTATAGAGACTTTTTGGTTGATAAATACGCTTTGCTGTGTAAAAATCACACGCACCTGGTGCGTGCGTGTGTTTAGGTTAGTAAATCACCCCCTGTGTCTCATAAATTTGGGCCTAGCCTTGTTCATTAAAATTATCCTGCTGCTTGCCAGTTTTACACTACTCCTAATTCATGTAATAAAACACATGCTTGTACTCCTTGGTGTTGAAGTTGTTCAGAATAGCTTGCAGTCCTGTGTAAATACGTGCACCAGAGAAACAACTAGAAGGTTAAGAATTGTTTCTAAATAATTATTTATAGATATGCTGTGTAAATGGGAACACATAACAAACATACAGTTGGGGGTTTCAAATTTGACTGCAAAGGTGGAACATTAAGCACTGTTCTAGCTCAGTTGGAAAAATGGCAAACAGCTAGAAATATACCACAGTGCCAACTGCTGTCTCCCCAAGGTTGTACACCAAGCAGTATTAATTGGAAATTGCTAGTGCCCATAGACATGGGTAAATTGCTCCCAAAGACATGGTGAAATATTTGTATGTACCTTTAGCCACACTGGTCTACCACACTGCACTGATCTTCGTTTACAGCTGTATAATTTGTCAATATCTCATTGTATCTGTACCCTTCATTTTGACATGAACATAAGCAGAATTGAATTTACCAACCTTTACTGCAGCATTTGTCTCACTTTGTACATCAATTAGATGGATCAATATCACACAACTGCTGTAGACTCTGGCATCTTTTGACCTTCTTTGATATGTGAATTGAAGTCATACAGCGTGCAACATTGTTTTCTCTATGTGTAATACATATTTTTCAACAAATATGTTGCAAAGATTAAAAGTTTCCTTGCACTTCAAATCATGTTATAACCTAGAGGATTGTTTGTTTCAAAGAGTGAGTTCTAACAACAGGTGTTAAAATAGGTGTATGATGTTTGGTTATCAAATAGAGTTGGAAAAACAGACAGTGTGAGAAATGAATGTGCTGCCAAACTGTTTAAGGTCACCTATCTCTGTTATATTTAGATTATAGTGCACACAGGAAGAACATATTAGAAAATGAAAATTTTAGAATTTTGTATAACTTTTCAAGACAGATCAAGAAGATACCTGTGTAAAGGAATGCAGGGTCAGTGTTAGGATCCAGAGCGCCTCCAGGTGGCGCTGGAGCTGAGCCCTGCAGTTCCTGGGTTCACCTGCAGGATTCTCCAGGCAGCCAGGGGCTGCTAGGTGCCAGACCACCACTGGGTGGTGCTGGTACCTGCAGCGCCAGTGCTCACCTGTGTGTGTCTCCCAGCTGCCAGGAATCAGCCCATTAGGTAATACTCCTGGGAGAGTTTTTAAACCCTCCCTGCAGTCTGGACCTTGTCTCAGGATTTCGTTGCTTTCCCCTGTTGTCTGAGTCCTCTGGCCTGAACCCTGAGACCCTGATATTTGCATGCTATTTTAGTACCCTGTTTCCTGTGTTACCCGGTTTCCTGTGTTGTTACATTTTTGGTTTATGCATGTTGTGGATTGTTTTAGTTAGCTTGCTAGGTTTATTAAAATATTTATATATACCATAATTACCTGGTCCGTGTGGTCACATGTGTTTGGTCTGCCTGTAAGGGTACCTGTGCAGGTGTGGGGTCACCTGCGCTGGGATCCCCTGACAGTCAGTTTGCTCATGTATGCTTATTGTATACTGATACCATTTGACACATTTAAATGTATAGTTTTTTCTTAACAAATATCATTTGTTATTTGAAAAATATTGCATATGCAATTTTTACTACACTAGTACAAACTGAGAGTAAAAAACTAATTGTTGCAATAAATCCCTTTTTAATTGCACGCCCTCACGGGCAGGGGCCTCCTTACCATCTTGTCTTGCATGGTATTGTGATTGTCATGTCTTCCTTATATTGTAAGAAAACTGCTGGCGCTATATAAATCCTGTATAATATAATAATAATAATAAAGGTGCCAAGTGACTGAGATTATTTACAATATAAGTATAATATGCAAGATATCCATGGGCAGAGGAGTTGTTGGCCTTAGAATACACACACTGGTAGATGTTATGCCAAACATACATTATATTTTCAAAGGAAAATACTGTAGACAATGGGAATAGATTACCTAGGGGTTAAGGACTGTGAAGATGCAAGCTCTTGTAATTATTATTAAAGGTCGAACTTGAGGTTACTGTTTTCAATTTTTTTCAAATCTAACTAACTATGTAATTAACCAACATAACACCATGTATGTATGAATAAGAATTCATCCAAGAATGAGCTTTCTAAATGGAAATTTACATGCATAAAGAGATAATCAGAGACTACAGGCATGCTATAAGAGATGGTCAGAGACTGCAGACAAGCATAGGACTTGATAGTTATTGGGATTGGGGGCATAAGTGCTAATGGGTTTCATGCGGTCCTGTGCTGAAGGTTGGGCACCTGGGGTCTAGACAGTATAAATCATATCCTGTTTATTTTCAGATAACCTACAAGCATAAGGACTGCTCTGCAGTTTATATTAAATAAAGCGTTGTGCATGGTGCTAATAGTATTTTCACAATTGGCTCTCTGAGGGATTTCTCAGCTAAAGGTTACTGGTAATGCTTGCTTTCTCATAGCAGTCATAGGCATTGGTTACATTAACTTTTTTATAGTTCATCTACAGCTCCAGATTTAGATGTTTAAATGGAGGTTTCCCAAAACCTTTGCTTAATAAAATAAATAAACATGAAAATGCTAGATATTTATTTTTTCCATGTCGCTTTCTATGAACTGATTATATATTCTTGCACTTTTAATATCATGTAATAAAATAAATATGTGCATAGACTCAGCTCTGGCACTCTGGGTTTCAGGAGGCTGCTATTTATCTACTTTAGAAACGTATTAATGTTTTGAGTATGTTTAAAATGTCTATATAAATAGTGTCATAAAGGTCACCCAGCTCTCTAGGCTCTGTTCCCCAAATAGACATTGCTAGCTGCTGTAAGGGTATGTGACTGGTGCAATGGTTCCAGTGCCCTGCTCAAGAGCCAATTGTTCTTCAACTTTGCCAGGAACCTGTGCTCCATACTCTGGTACCTGCCGCCGTACTTCTGGTCCCATCAAAATGTCTTTTGATGGGACCAGTGCTGTTCTTACTAAATAATACAAAGTAGCATAATTCAGTAATGTAGGATTATTAAGTAGATCATTATTCATGTTTATGTTTTTTATTTAATTCACAATATTCTGATTAATATCTGATATTTAGTAAATGTGACATAAACTGGATTCGGCTATAAACATTTACACTGAAGTTCTATGTGGAGTATAATATAACTGCATTCTGAATACCAGAAAAACACAAGTGTATACAATTTGAGGGATTCACTCATGCACACTGCAGGCATTTTTATGTACTTGGAGAAAATTATAACTGCATTCCAAACACCAGAAAAACACTAGTGCATACCATTTAAATTTTTAATGCGACTACATTCAATTAGCCACTTTGAGGAAACACACAGTTATCCAGACACATTTAGTCACATCATGTGCTAAAGCAAACTTTTCCATACTAATTTTGCATTTCTGCTGAATTGCTGCTGTGAAACCACTGTATATAAAAACACATCTCAGATGTACTGAATGCAAATAAAATGCTTGTAATGTTCTCACACAGAAAAATTACCCACAGCCACAGAAAGGAGAAGACAGTGCCCAGGTTATAAAAAGCAGTTTTCTCATTCCTTGTGGCTCATTATAAAACTATGCAGAAAAAAAATTAAAGGGTCATAGGAATTAACGTATTCATGTTTAATATACAAAAATAACCATGCCTGTAATAATTAAACCACTGTGGTAGTCATTTTCTGTATAGAAAGGCAACAGTAAATAACACTTGACAATAAACTGTTAAAAACTTAATTAAAAAAAAAATCAGATTGTTATTATTGAGAATTTTGCAAATAGCAAACACAATTAATATACATAAACATTAAACAACCAAGTGTTTTTCAGTCATGACACAACATGAAGACCATGTACAATTACAGTTGTACAGCTGTTGAACCGCTTTGGTAAGTAAATTGGTATACAAGGCACACATAGAGGCAAAGGCCCCATTTTGCAATAGTTAAAACTGTACATACACAATGTTTTTGATAAGGGAATAAGAACAGAACATTTTAATTATATAGTTTGAAAATGTAGCCATTGGGACCATATCAAGGAAAACTTGTGATCAAGCCCACTCCTCTGATAAGTTAGAGACCTCTAGTGACCCCCATTCGCTTGTATTAGGTGCGGTCTTCTCCCTCCCCCCCGTGTACGCCACCGATGTCACTGCCGTCGCCGGTCCCCAGATCCGATGTGCCCGGTGCAGCCAGGACCGGCACGGCTGCTCTGTCACAGGAGATAAAAGGGAGGTCGGTACACGATCTCCCTCTGATCTCTTCTCCGGTCCCCGAATGCAGTAAGTGATGTATATTACATCACTTCCGCATTCAGCTGTCATTCCCAGCTACAGAAGCTGGGGAGAAGCTGGTGAAGCAGAACTCTGCTTCATCAGCTTCTCTGGGGGTCCCTAGGTGACATTAGGGGTCTGCCAGACCACCGATGTCTCCATAAAGTGGACCTGTCATGTAAATTGGCTATCACATAAGGGGCTTCTTAACCCCTATGTGATAGCAATTAAGCTAAATGTAAAAAAAAGCATTAAAAAATTGATGTCATCATGGAGGAGTGGAAGAGGACTCCAGTGGCAATCTGTGAAGCTCTGGTGAACTCCATGCCCAAGAGGGTTAAGGCAGTGCTGGAAAATAATTGTCGCCACACAAAAATAACGACCCCAAACACACCTCCAACTCGACCACTGCCTTGCTAATGAAGCTGAGGGTAAAGGTGATGAACTGGCCTAAACCCTATTGAGCATCTGTGGGGCATCCTTAAACGGAAGGTGGAGGAGCGCAGGGTCTCTAACAAGAAACAGTACTCTGATGAGCTCTCTGTCACTCTTCTCTCTCATTGTGTAAGCATGTAGTGCAACGGAATGGCTCCTTGAGTTACTTCTTCCTCTCCCAGTTTGAATTTTGCTGTACAAGAAACTGCAAAAGGCTGATACCAAGTGATAACCAGGTGCTTACACTAGCTACATTTAAAAATAGATTTAATTATTTTAATTAAACACATATCTGTTTGATTTGGTGTTTTTTTAACTGACTGAAGTTCAGCTTTGAAGGAAACCTGTGTGGAGAAAAATACTGGAGCTGCCATTGTTGACAATGCTGACTTCTAAAGTGCTAGCTGCCTTCAGTCAATCTGATCTTTAGACCTTAATGCATTTAGACCTTAATGCATTATGGGGGTGCTGACCAGAATAAGTATGCAGCAAGTGGAATTGGAGTAAAGGCACTAGGCTTAACCTGTAACTAAAATATCACTTTGCGGCAGAAGGACCCTAAAAACCCTTTCAATAAAATAAAATGTGAGAATTAGAACTTTTGACATATTACTAATGTTTATTATTATTTGCCTATAGTAAATCTAGCGTTTACCTATATTTAACAAAGGAATGTGATTTTTATTATCTTCAAAATAACAGTATAAATGATAGACAATTCAAAAGTCAATCCCCAAGAATGAATACATCAGTTTAATGATTCATGCTGTGGGGCAAAAGTAAGTGCCTTTTAATTTCAGTGTACTTACTCTGTTTTCCAAGATAGTGAAATGCTTCACACATGAAAGTAAAGCTAAAATCACTTAAGTGAATTGTATTAATTTAGTAGATGACATTTTCAAAAGAAAGCAATGACAGAACAGACTTCATAAATATGTATTTTTGCTGGTTTCTCTGCAGTTTGATTTTTATATCAGTTCTTTTCCATTTAAAACCTTACAATATAAGCTTCTTTTTTTGTCTGCCTCCCAGCAAGAAAAGACCCGGCCAATAATGTAATGCAAATAGAGTGTCAACAATGTGTAATTCCACATGCTTGAATCACAGTACAAGGTGTAATTAATTTGATATGGTCCCTAATATCCTGTATCATTTTATAGTCGAGTTTAAATAATTATTGTCGGGACATTATGAGGTCTTAGTTTGATTAGAAGAAACAAGATGAATGTTATAGTGTGGCATGTAAAAACATTGTTGGGTTATTACGTTTGCCCTTGACCTTGTTTTAATACTACACAGTGGCATTTTACTATATACCATTATTTAATTATTTTAGTCATTCTAAGCCTGTGATCAGTGTTTTCAAAGCAAAGATTACAGCTAATGTCTCAGCAGAAAGGGTCAACAGATCACAACGTGCTGTTTATAGTAGCATTCAAAGGACAAGAGCTTTACACTCTGCATAAATTGTAATGCCATGTATCATACCTCCCTTCAGATTTATCTTGTCAGAATTTTAACAAAATAAAAATGTTGTTGCAGTCTTGCGGTGTGACAAAAAAAAAGAATGCGGGCAATGTTACATAATGAGAGAATCAAACTCACACAGTCTGTTTAAGGGTTAGCCTGTAGTCAGAGGAATTACATATTATTGCCTTCAGTATTCATATATAATATGGATTTGCTGTCTGAAATGGAGGATCTAACATTGTCTTGATAGGATACAGATGAAAAATTCAGCTTTATTGTCCTTTAAAGCAACAGACATTTACAAGCACTTCATGGGTTAATGACTGGAAAAGGCTTTTATGTGAATTTCCCTGGTTTATAATAATAAATAGGCTAAAAGAAAGGGTGGTTCTAATGCCAGGGACAATGGCAGAACAGAGAATTTTGTTTTAACCCCCCTTTTTTTTTTTTTATTGTTGCACAAAGGAGTTGATAGTGAAACTTTGAAGCAGAAGAAGCATGCACATGAAATATGTGGGTTTGTGAGAATTCTATATAAATACTTGTTAGTATCCTAATTAACCTTGGAAATTAGATAAGGAATCAAATCTTGTGTTTAATGTGGTGTGTTTTGTAACATGAAAAACTTTTAGGGCAGGTTTACACCATTTTCTGGACCAAATCTGGTCCGGAAAATGGTTTGAACCTGCACGCAGTTCCAGTGCATCCCAGACCAAACAAAATGAGACATGCAATATTTTTCTATTAGGATGCATTTTGGGTCCAGCAAAAATCTGGTCTGGTCTGGAGATGATCTGGATGTGGTGTGAACCTGCCCTTAGAGAAAAATCTAGAATTATATACTGTAGATTTTCCATACTCTTTTTTTAGTAACATAGTAAGTAAGGTTGACTAAAGACACAGGTCCATCCAGTTCAACGTGTGTGTGTGTGTGTGTGTGTGTGTGTATACTTGGCTCTAGTTACGATATCTTTGTATATTTAGGGTACTCATCTAAAAGTTTCTAGAATTTATCAATGGTATCAGACATTCAACTAAAATATAACTTTGCTGTATATAATCTTATAAATATTTGCTTCTGTGAATAGATTATAGAGATTATAAATGTAACTGGAGGCAGCTCTGTTTACTAATTACCTAATGTCATCTGTACAATCTGCTGAAGCTGATTAAGCACAGTCAGTGTACTTTTTCACCAGCCAGAGCAGGTGGGGTTTGACAGCTTTTAGTCCAGAAGTGTTCAAAGCTGAGCATTTCCAGGTTCACTGATCACAGGGGAGATCAGCAAATGGATGCTCTCTATCATGGCACCCACCATGGAGGTCCCAGTCACACAAGAGGGACAAATAAGTTTGAGAAACATAGGAGGGGAAATCAGACAGGGGAGCAGCACCTTAAAAACACTGTCAAACAAACAAAGCTGCCCAAATTACTTCTTCTGAAAAGCCAGCAGTTGGGAAAAAAATGAAAACAAAACCTTGCTACTACAGCAGCTGAGAACTTGTTTACATGTTGGGATTTTCCCTTCCATAATACTCATGGTGCGGGTAGCAAAAGGGTTAACAATGGTAGTATGAGATGGAGTCAAAGACTACCTTACAAATGCTGGACTTATTTGTTATATTCTTTTCGTTACTAACATGGGTTCTGAATATATATACACTGCATTTTAGCAGATGGGCTAGTGTATTGTGGCATCTCCAGCACTGTGCACACTGCCAAAACTGACACTCTACATTTTTTCTTTGTTTAACTTTATGTGGAATGTACAATATGTACACTCCATTCAGATCCCTGCACAGCAGTGCGGCATGCTGCCATGTGGCAACCTGTGGTGCTGTTCAGTGCAGCATGTTTGCATTTTATCGCAGTGTACCACCTATCATACCCACATTGTGCTGTGAATGGGGCACATATAACAATTTGTTTTCTATATGCCCTTGTGGTGACATGCATTGATCTGGTGTAAAATACAGGTCAACGTACTATGTGCGGAAAGTCCTTTAAAGTTCCAGTGTGTGGGAGAGCCTTCCGTAGACTCAGAGAGAGGGTGGTTATAAAACCATGGAACACTTTGTGGTCTATTCACAAAGCTGCCGAGGGCAGCCGAGTGAATGACCGATCTGAAGTGAAAATTTTCACATGCTCATATGGAGAACATTTGGAAACCAAGGATGCTAAATAAGCAGGCAAAATATAATTGTGAATATGATAACTCATGCTTTTCTGTAAGAATTATGTGTTCCCTAAGTCAATTTAAATAAAAAATGTCATTTTTGACTCTAGGATACTTTGAACATTTTACTTTTTATACAATACAAGATTATGTTAATTTCTATACATGTTTACAACTGGTAAGCAAAGATCCTGCAAAAAAATTACATTTATATATTTTTTGAATTACTTAACATTTGGCATTTTGACCATTAAAAATACTTTTTATATAACAAGACTTGGAAAAACATGTCCATGTATGGGCCTTAAACCATGCAAGATACAGAAAGTGATCATTATATCCAAATTACTCTTTTTAATTAATTTTGCCATTTTCAAATGTTTTCAAAATAAATGAGGGATCACAAGTGACATTTCTGTACTCCAAACACAAGTTTGTTTATTAATTTTTGCCATTCTGGACAGCAATCAACAGAGTTCAGTGAGAATTAAGCAGGAGGATGACTTGTTTTCCAACTTGATTTTCTGTAAACAATGCAAATGAGCATATAAAACCTTTGAGCAGTAGCAGTCATTTACTATTGCCAAATGTTGTATTTGCATACAATCTTGATAAACAAAGTCTAAAATCTCATGTAAGCATTGACCTTTACCTTGCAGTCAATACCATGCTTCCTTTCTCAGCACAGGCATGTTAAAATTCTAAAATAGTTGCATATTAGATCAAATAAAGTAACGCAGTGAATGGAAAGAGAATGGGTGGAGAAAGGTTCTCACATCAATTAATTTCTTTCAGGCAAGTCAGAATAGACGGTGCCAACAAGACAGTGTTTAGGGAATGCTTGCCTTCCTAAATATTAGCATAACAGAAATCTTTACATGACTATGGTGCTGTTATAGTGGATGTTTTGCCACTAAATAGTATATATTAGTTAATGTTTTATGCATAGTTGTGCTGTTTTTAGAATGAAGTTATTTATTCAGATTTTATGCAACACAATTGTAAAAACATGTAGATTTAAATATACTAAGGACAAGGTACACAGCTCTAAAATTAATAGTACTATATTCTATCCAATAGGAAAACAGTTATAGCATAGTCTGATATGCTGCAGCCAAAAGTACAAAAGGAAGAATATATCCTAAAGAGAGTTACTGGGCTCAGAAATCAGTTCACCTTGCAACTGGTGTCCTTGTCACCTACTGGGATGAATAGGAAACATAAAACAATCTTATTTTCCTTCTGTAAATTATTAATCCCTCAATTCCTCATGTAGTGGAGGTGAACAATGGCTGACATGTTTGAAGTTCATCCTGGGTGGCAACCATGGCTCCCTCCATAGATACAGTGGAGGAGTGTGTTATTTTCTGAATTAGGATTTGAAAATACTGAAAAAAATTAAATTAATGCAGCCATCTAAGGACTGGTGAGCTGCAATATGTTAAATTTTTTGGTTTGGATATGCTTTAAGGCATGATAGCGGAGATATGCTAATGGACAGTACAGTACATTACTGTACAGTAGTGAATACTGACCGGCTGCAGTTTTGATGCGAGGGTGAGATGCTTGAGTGACGCAAGGATGTGATGAGTGGGTGAGATGCTTGAGTGATGCGAGGGTGTAATGCAAGGGTGAGACAGCCACATTAGAAGGCTGCGTGAGTAGGCCTTGCTGCCATTTCCACAGTGTACAATGTACAACACTGACTGGTCTGGAAGCTGGTCATTAGTCCGCACAGTCATTAACTAGGTAGGTTGTTAAGTGAGGAGTATCTGTATATTGTTTCTTTAGCTCTCACTCCCCTATTGCCATAAAGCAGCACATATAGGTGTAAAGTATACTTACACTCATCTCACATCATTGGTCAACTTGATTCTCCATCACCACCTCTTCTTAATTTATTAATGAAAATAATTGCCACTAAATGTAATTGTGAAATAGTATGACTGTTCTCTACAATGTACCCCACTTATGGCAACTTATTCTATCTACCTGGGTTGTATATCTATGTAAAGTTTTTTGGTCTTTTCATTGCTGTGTAGTCTAACCAATATAAACAAAACCGCACAGCATTTAATCATGTAAACTACACCTCTAACATGTCGTTTAACCTCCCTGGCAGGATGATTTTTTCATGTAATTTTTCGGTCTATTTATTTCTCAAATTTTTTTCGTCTTCCTCTTTTTTTTTAAATATCCCGCCGGTTCCACCCCCTGCAACGCGTATGCTCGCAAGGGACGGAACCGGGAAGACGGATGCCGGCATCGGCCGGAGAACACAGCGCGGCTCCAGGGACAAGGTAAGTAAATGCTATGCGGCATTCCCGAGTGTAGCTCAGGGTTACCGCTTACGGTATGGAAAAGTAACCACGAGCTACACTCGGGAGGTTAAAGAAGAAAATACCCTGTGAGGAAAAAAAAAGATACTGACACAAACGACATCTGGGAACATAATAAATTATTATGCCCACTTTTTCTTTTCTCTGATATTACTCCACACCTTTCAATGTGTGACATTTCACACTGTAGCAATGTTACTGGGTATTTTCTGGCTCATATCATGAAATCTCTCCACCAGTTTAACCAAATCACTCACTATTTCAGCTACCCTCCTAAATTGCACTCTGGGAACAGATTTAAAGACTTTGGGTAAATGATGACTGTTAAAGTGCAAAGATGTATTTCTGTACATTGGCTTTGTATATAGATTAATTCCCTAAATTGCCATTATGCACAGTTATCATAGTATCTTTAAAAGGCTTCTGCTTCACACTAAACTGAACTTTAAATTGTTAATCTTTCACCATTGTATTTAACGTCTTGTAGAAATGGTGCCAAATGGAGCCAAAGTGCACACCAGGTGGCAAACACATACGGTGATGCATTTCAAACAGTGAATGAGAATAGATTATTTTCTCTTCTACCCAAATCATGAATACATTAGAATAGGGCAGAGCTGTATTAAAACCCATTGCCGCTCCACACAAAAGTAAATAATAATCATTCTTAAATAAAAAAAAGAATTCCAAAGTCAACTGCAATATATCAGCAATGAACTGCATCTAAATCACTGTATATTTCTACAAAAGTTCTAACAACATCATAGTAGCTTCTGTCCTTAAAGTCTAAATCTAAAATGTCCCAGGTAACCAAAACGTATCACCTGGGACATTAATATCCATAATCCTATTTAAAAAAATCACTAGAGTGCCTCAGGTAAAAATGTTCGCTACTAAGGAGTCAAAAGAGTGAAATCCTGCCATAAAAATTAGCCAAAAGGGATAATACAATCATCATGATCTTCATGAACCTTATGGAGTACATATATGACAGAAGTTATAGGATGTTCCTTAATCAAAAAGGTCTTAGTTTCATTATCTATCACTCCTGTAGTTTATGCACCATCCACTACCTCGACCTTCTTTTGTAACTTGAAAATCGGGTTGGTCTGATTAAGTTCACATTTCACATTCGCCTTAAAATCAAACATTTATAGAAATCACAATCTATGATACCTTTAGAACTGCCCTTGGTTTGCATAATCTGTTAAAAATGTCAATATATTTCTCTACATTCTTCATGTACACCTCCACTGGTGCATGTGATGTAGGTGCCACATTCTTACTTTGCAGTCCTAAGCCAAATTTTTAATAAACAATATATTGTCTATCCATATATATATATGGAACTTGTAGATGGGTAGAAAACAATGTTTTCAATCATATGGAAACTGATGCAAATCTTGTTTGAAACAAAGATAATGCAATCTTT